AGCTTTTCTTCCCTGTATCTGGATTGAGGGATTTTTCTGTCACTCTCTCTTTCCTTTATTCTGTTTCCCACTGGCTGCAATCTATTTATGTCTTTGTCTCTCTGTCTCTGGTTTGGCCTCTTTATGTCTCTGGGGTGTGTGTGTGTGTGTGTGTGTGTGTGTGTGTGTGTGTCCCCTTCCCTCCGCCTGGTGTCTGTAATTCTCACCTCCCTGCCCCCTTTCCAGTGCCCAGTACTTTCTATGTGTCCTACCACACTCCTTGTCCCTGAAGGTTTGGGAAAGGGATTTACTGTGGCTGGGGATGCGCCCAGCAGGGCAGGGTAGGAAGGAGGAGGTCAAGGGCCATAGGAAGAACAGGCCTAGAGCCAGGACTGAATGGCCTTTTGGGGGGGTGGGGCTGCTAAGGGCTGGAGCCACCCTGAGCACTCCCAACCAGTCCCCTCCTCAGAGTCCCCACTCAGCCCCAGTCCGGGAGTATTAGAAGGATGTCCCCAGGGTGGGGACCAGATGGCTCTGTTAAATGCATATGGGAGGGGCTGAGAGCAGAAGCCACTGGGGGATGGGGATGTCCTGGCTATTCCCAGCCAGTCCCCTCTCTTGGAGGGTGTGGTCCAAGCTGTCACCACGGCAAGGCCAGACCAGTATTGGTCCAGCTGCTCCCCCTGGTGGTCACCCTCAGCAGGACCACTGCACTGCCCCAAAGGCAGATCTCCCTCCCTAACGAATGCCCACCACCCAATCAGGATGGAGACTATCCACCATAACAGCAATGATGCCCCTTCTCTCTCCCTCATCTATTCTATCAAGTTTTTCCCAGAAATTTCACCTAACAGCATCCTAATCTTTCCACAAGCCTCAGAGACTGGTTCTGTTCTCAAGGCTAAATCACAGCTGAAGAAACTGAGGAGGGGAGGCAGGAGATCAGGGTAACCGCCACATTGGAGGCTGAGCTAGGGTTCAGATCCAGGAAGCCAGCCCCTGTGTGTTACATTGACTTCTTTCTTTGGAGATCAGAATTCATAGCTATACAGACAAGTGGCTGTTTTCATTTGGAATAATTTTTTAGAAACCTGAATAGATTCTCTCCATTAAATAAGAAAAATTCATAAATCACACATTACCCAACCTAACATTCTGGTAATATGTCCCATTCCCCTGCCTCCTGCTGCCAAGCTATGTGTCAATCTTTTTGTTTGTTTGCCTGTCCCTTTTTATTTTTACATTCATTTATTTATTGTTCAGGGGGCAGGGGCACAGGCTGTAACACAGGCGTCAGGTCAGAGGACAAGTTGCAGGAATCGGTTCTCTCTTTCCACCGTGTGGGTCCTGAAAATCGAACTCAGGTCATCTAGCTTGGCACAGTGATCACCTTTACCTGCTGAGTCATCTCGCTGATCCCATTTGCTTGCTTTTGAGACTGGCCTGGAACTCTTTCTGTAGCCCAGATTACCCTCAAACTCACTGTTCCCTTGATTCAGCCTCCCAAGTGCTGGGAGGACAGAAGGCACCACCATGCCTGACTGTGTGCCGGTCTTTATGGGTTGGTACAGTCTTCGCATCCCAGCAGCCCTCTGAGGTGGCAAGTATTACTGTTCCTGCTTCCCAATCTCTGCTCTGAAAATGGGGAAACTGAGGCATGAGGCATTTAAATGATGAGCTGGGTGGGGTCAGTCAGCCCTAGCCTTAACCAGCAGGTGGCGATGTTTTGTTGCCTAGGAGCAGGAGGCTGATGTACATGCTCACCCTCCCACCTGTAGAAGGAAAGGGGCTGAACAGATCTGGGGTTCAGCCCAGCCCTGTGTAGCCTCAGGCAAGTTATTCAACCTCCCTGGTCCTCAGTTTTCCCATTTGTCAAATGGGTGTATTCATGCCCCCATCCCCAGACTGAAGAGAGGGCTCAATGAGATCATGAAAACAGCCCCTCTTTTGGGGTTCAACAGGGTCTCAGGTAGTCCAGGCTGGTCTTAAACTTGCTATGAGCCAAGGATGATCTTGAGCCTGATCCTCCTGTCTCCACCTCCAGAATGCTGGGCATTGATCCCTGGGCTTTGTGCATGTTAAGCAAGCACTCTACCAACTGAGCCACATCCCCAGCCCACATCCCCGGGAATGCACTGGTAAAGGCTGAGTATGGTGGTGCACAGCTGGAATCCCAGCACTCTTGAGGACTGAAAGTTCGAGACCAGACTTGGGTTACATCATAAGTTTGAGGCCAACTTGGGTACAGTGTGAGACGTTTCAAAACAACAAAAATGTGTGGATAAAGAACTTAGTGCTGGGACACAGAGGGGATAATGACAGGCCTGAACCCACTTCCACCTACCCATTGTCACTCCAGTTTACCCTAAGATGACCTTGACAATGAGAATGGAGGGGGAGGGGCTGAAGAGATGGCTCAGGGGTTAAGAGTACTGGCTGCTCTTCCAGAGGATCAGAGTTCGGTTTCTAGCACCCATATGGCAGCTAACAACGAGGACAGGGGTCACTTACTGTGTGGATTGTTCTGGATAATCACACCATCTCCCTCTAAGGGGAATACTACTATTCTTTCTTTTTTATGAAAGAAACAACTGAGATCCAGAGAGCCTGTCATTTGCCCAACATCACACATGGAGAAAGGATTGAGCTGCTCCACCCTGGGCTGCTGAGCATGCCAGAGTCACCCTGTTGTAAGCAACAGACGCCAGATTGGCCTAGAGCTGGCCAGGTGCTCCCCTCCCTCCTACTCCTTTACTTCCCTTGTCCCCTTCCCTGGTGCTGCCTAAACACTGGGGTTATCATTAACCAGGGCTGGCTGGGGACCCTACCCCAGGAGTGTTGAGATACCATGGCAGAGGCTGAGAGACAGGACTCATCGAGGGATAAGGAAGCCTGTGGAGCCACTGGGTCCTTGGAGCTAGGCTTGTGCTTGTGACATGCACTACATGCCTGGACACGAACTCCAGCAAGCACTCCTAACTCTGGTCTGCAGAGTTATGGTGTCTAGGCTGCTGCTGTCTGCTTAAAGTTGGAGGCATTTCTGCCCTCGACTACCAGAGGCCTTCAGGAGAATCAGCTCCATTTGGCAAGACCTCAGTTTTTCACTCTCTAAAATGGAGTTGATAAAGTATTGCGAAGTTCACAGAACTCTAAGCTTTGATAATCTCTCCATTTTATAGCAAACCTGGACACCTGAGAGACATAGGAGTCACAGGGCTGTCCAAGGTCATACCAAGAGTGCTAAGTGCACACCTGACCCCTGGTTTCTCTGTCTCCAGGGTCTCTGAACCTGGCAGGTTTATGAGAATGTCAGAAGTGTTTCCTATCATGGCATCATTAGGTAGGGCTACATAAGCTTAGGGAATGGAAGGTTCAAAGTTAAACACGTGGCTTCAGAGTGTGTGGGCCTGTATGTCCATGACTGTATGAACAGCTGTGTATTGCTGGCCCATGCAGAGGGTATGCACTCACTGTGGGTGTGTTGGTAGCCGTGAGGAAGAGGAGTCTCCACAGTCCACCTGCTTCCTGTGTGCTCAAGTTCATGGCCTTCACCTCCTGAAGCTGGCATAGGGGAGCTGGCCGGGAGTCTGTCTCTAAATGAGTTCCTGTAGGCTATTATTTGATGGTGTGTGACCATGTGTAAAGAGTGGACAGAGACACCACAATGACATTTTCACTATTTTTATTTATTTATTTATTTTTGGTCTTTTTGAGACGGGGTCTCCCTGTAGCCCCAGCTGCCCTGGAACTCACTACATAGACCAGGCTGGCCTTGAACTCAGAGATCCGCCTGCCTCTGCCTCCCGTGTGCTGGGATTAAAGGCATGTGCCACCACGCTTGGCTCAGTTTCACTATTTTTAATTAATTGATTTTTATTTTATGTGTATGAATGTTTTGCCTGCATGTATGTCAGTGAACCCATGTCATGCAGTGCCTGCGGAAGCCAGAAGAGGGCGTTGGCTCCCCTGGAACTGGTTGTTAGCTGCCATGTGGATGCTGGGAATTGAACCCGGGTCCTCTGCAAGAGCAGCCAGTGCTCTTAGCTGCTGTGCCATCTCTCCAGCCCCGCTATTGTTTTTTATGAACTGATAGTCTCTCTATATATAGCTCAGGCTGGCCTCAAATTCAGTCTATAGGCCAGGCTGACCTTGAACTCTCTATCCTCTTGCCTCTGCTTCCTGACTACTGGGATCAACGGTCTGTGCCACCACTCCCAGCCTGGTTATGTCCTGACTGTCTCTCTGCGTAAATATTAATATGAAGTGTATGTGCGCACATTACACAAATGCACTAATCATGTTTAATGTCAGGTGTTAAAGGAGCTAGCTGAGTGTCTATGACTGGTTCTCTCTCTCTCGTCTTGCATTCCTGGTGAACCTCAGTCAATAACACACAACATACATGTGCAGTAAAAGCACCATTTAAAATAAAAATAAAAATCCCAGCTGTCAAAGGCTGGCAGAGCACTGGGTCAGAGGTCATTGGGCTCCAAAGTGCTTAGGCTGCATGACCTTAGGCCCCAGCTGGGCCCAATTTCCAGGAAGCCTAGCAGAAACCATTCTCCCACCCCGGCCCAGAAGCAGGCTTATATTCCTATGTCTGTATGTCTGTGTGTCTGTGTGTCCACAGTCCAGCCCACAAGCAGTCGCCTGCTGTTCCTGGGGCTGTGCTGAGAGAGTTAACCTAGCAGGCCAGGGCGGTCTGGGCTGGGGGCCGCCCCCTGGCCCCCCTCCAGTCAGGGCTCCAGTTTCAACTGCTGGTTGGGGAGGGCAAGGGTGGGGTGGGGCCAGGAGGGGAGCCTGCGGGGGCGGTGTGCATCCAGTTCTGGGCCAGGGGGTCCAAAGTACTCAGCCCCCAGGGGTACAGCCGGACATTTGGGGGCCTTCTGTCAGCAGGGGACATCGTGAATGGGGTGAGCGTCCCCCACCCCTATCTCCAGGCCTCTCCCCTCTCCAAGCTGGGAGGCCTATTTTGGGAACAGGAGTGGCCAGCCCATGGCTTCTCAGGCAGGCCTGACCTAAGGGGGAGGAGAGTGTGGGGACAGAGGGGTTGTGAAGGGGCGGGAGGGAGCAAGTGACTCCTCCTTTCTCTGCTGCTGTTGTATGAGACCCCTGACTGGGTGTGGGGCTTGGACACTCATGTGTAGGTCTGCTTGTGTCACAGTTTGGGGGCACAGGAGGCCTGGAGATGGTGCCTATGTCCATACTCCCTCTATATCTCCAAAGAGTTTGGACAGAGGCTGTTGTCTATCCCCATGATCCACCCTGTGTGTACGCCTGTATGTGTACACTGTGTGTGAGCCTGTGTATGTGTGTGCGCACCTGTGTGTGTGAGAGCCTGCCTCTGTGTGTGCGTGTGCGGTATGTGTGCCTATGTGTGTGCACTTGCGTGTGTCCCTGAATTAAACATCTGTCTTCTCTCGGGCCCACTAGCACAGACTTCTTGCCACTGGCCCAGTGCGTCTTGTTATGAAAGATGTCATCCAAGGGCCGGCACAGGGGCTGTTCCCCCCTTTTCTCAGAGCTTCCAGGAAAAGAGAAGGGGTGGCCCAGCCCTCAGGGGCAGCCTGTGGGGATGTGGCTCCCCCAGCAGGGTTGTACATGACCCCCCAAGCCACTGGGGGAAGGAAAGCTGTTGCCATGGTGGCCTGTGTGTGGCAAATTCCTCCAGGGTGAAGTGGGAGATATTTATACCCAGGGTCAGGCAGAGAACAGGCAGGCAGCCGAGGGCAGGACCGCGGGGACTGCACGGGTACAGCGGGTACAATGAGGCCTCTGATGGAGGTGGGGGGGGCTGGGGTATGCCCTGTTTGTCTCATAGTGTTCCCACCTGTGTCCAGAGGCACTTGCCTTCCCTTATAGGGTAGGTTTGGAAACTCTGGGATCTAGTTGCTGGGGGAGGTGGCGGTCTGTGGGAGGCCCTGTGGGTGCCCTCTCACCCTTTTCCTTGTTGCGTATGTTGTATGGTCTCGTGACCCCCGTTTTGGAGTTGTTTTGATGACATGGTCCCCATGGAGCAGGGGGCAGGTGCCCGTTTCTCAGGCAACTAAGCTGAGTGCCTGACCCTTTCGGGATTTAGTCCTTAGACTGTCCTTGATTTAACCCCATGGGTTCAGGACCCTCTATGGGAGAGGATGAGGGATACTTCCTGATCCTGGCTGTCTGATCAGGGCAATGGCATCTCCCAGCCACATCCTGGCTCTCTGCGTGGGTTTCCTCACTGTGGCCAATGCAGGTGAGTCTATGGGAGGCATCCACTATCCTCCTCAGACTGAGGGTGACGAGATAGAAGAAAGCCCCTGAGAAAATCAAGTGGGAGACCCCAAGCTAAAGGAGCTTGTGGAAGTAACAGAAAATCAGGGATCTCCACACAGGCCCTGGGCATGGCTAAGATTTGACAGAGGGAGGGAGATGCCTGGGTTAGGCAGAGGTGGGTGGATGAAAACTGGCTCCCTGGTTGTTGGAAACATGACAGCCTGTAAGATATGGAGATTGTGGGCCAGTGTGAGAGGACACTAGGACACAGACTAGACGGACAACCTACCTAGGGCCCGACCCAAACTCCTAGGTCAAGAAGGTAGGAAGAGCCCCCAAAGGGTGTTATACACCTCCCTGTCCCAGACCCCAGTAGATATTCAGTCCGTGATATTTCTCTTTCCTTCTAGAAGCTCCACAGGAACCTGATCCATTCACCTATGGTGAGGGGGGATGCTGTGGGGTTCAGAGGGTGGGCCTGGGTGTTTGTGTCTCTGTCTGTTTCCGTGCCTCTCTATCTCTTTCTGGACTCCGTCATTCTCCAGTCTCTTTCCTGCTCTGGTTGTCTGTTTGGTCTTTCTGTCTCATTTTAACTGGACTCTCAGTAGCAGGTGGCCCTCTGTCCTCCCCTCCGCACCCTCCTCCTGACACCTCTTCCCCACCTCCTTCCTCCGCCCTGCCTTCTTCTCTCCTCACACATCTCTACTGTCGCCCTACCCTCTCCTCCTCCCAGCCCTACACACCCCTCCTCCGCGGGCCCCTTTTCTCTCCTCCCTCCACTCCTCTCCCCTCTCCCCTGCGCTCACCCTATTCACCACTGCCCACAGATTACCATTCCCTGAGGATCGGCGGCCTCACCATCGCCGGGATCCTCTTCATCCTGGGCATCCTCATCATTCTTAGTGAGTGCCTGCCCCAGCCAGGAACCCCCCTCACTACAGGCCGGGTCTCCAGCCCGCCCCGCCCATGCCTGGCCTCCAACCACGCCTTCACGCACCGCCTCAGCTCGCCCACAACCACACCCCTCATAGGACACCCTACCCACGGCCCGCCTCCAGCCACGCCCCCACAGTCCGCCCTCTCTCCAGCCATCTCCCACCCACACCACACCCAGTCTCCAATTACACCCTGTCCTGATCCTTTCTAACCCCCACCTCGGCCTCTCTCAGCTTCCAACTACGCCCCACCCCACATCTCTAACCACGCCCCACCCCCCACCCATCTCTAGCCACATCCCGCCCCAGCCTTGCTCCGCCTTTAATCACGTCCCATCTCACACCCACCTCTAACCACGCCCAAACCCGGCTTCGCCCCCGCCTCCGGCCCCGCCCCCGAGCACGCTGCCGGCTGCTCCCCAACTTGATCTGCGGCTTGAGAGCCTGGGGATGCGAGAAGGACCGGAGGAAACCTCCACCTCTGCCCTCCCATCCCACAGGCAAGAGATGCAGGTGCAAGTTCAACCAGCAGCAGAGGTAAGCGGTCCCTCGGTCCTGCCTCGCTGCTCCCGCTGTGCAGAGGCTGTGGGAGCCAAGGAAGTCCGCCCATCCTGCAGTCAAATGTGTATTAAGCACTTAGTGCGTGCCAAGCCCCAAGCCAGGTCCGTGGGCCGAAAAGATGGTAGAACTCCCGCCCTGCCTGGCCGAGCGCCCAGCCAGTGGCGGCGCTGGTCTCCCAGCAGCCCCGCAGATGGAAACTCAAAAGCCTGGTAAGGCGGAGCAGCGCTGAAATGAGATCACCTCACAGGGCGGCCCAGTTTAGTCCTGTTCCTCGCGCTTCATCTAGAAATAAACCTTTAAAGCACAGGCAACGTAGGCATACCTTCTGCGAGTTAAAACGATCACACATGCCGTCATACAAACTCCCTAAGGAGCCCTGAGGTGCACCGCTCGCCAGGCGCTGTTATCCTTCTATTACTTACCCCTCACAATACGGCTATGGGGTGGGGACCGTCATCAACCCCATTTTGCAGATGAGGAAACTGAGGCACAGGGAGGTAAGGTGACTTAGGGTCATTCGTTGGACGAAGAGTCTTCTGGGTTTCCAGTCCAGGTCACAAAGGGACAGTCTCCTGAGTCCCTGTGACTGTCCCCCCTCCACCAACGTCAAATCCCCTCCCCAACAACCTGCCCCCCCCCCTTGAGGTCCTCACCATCACCTCCTGGGAGCATCTCCTGCCGCACCCACCCTCAAGTAGCTCCTGGCTACTCCCGGTTTCTCCTGGATCTTGTCCATCCCTGAGTCCACTGATGCGGGAAATAAGGCCTGCACAGGGGGACTTCCTGTAAGCGGCGGCCTCTCCTGGTTCATCTGAATTACCTCTGTATCTCCCTTTCCAGAACTGGGGAACCTGACGAAGAAGAGGGAGCTTTCCGCAGCTCCATCCGCCGTGAGTTCCGGGACATTGCGGGTTTTGGGAAGGACCTGTTTCCAAGAACCCCCTTTCTTGGACTCAAGAAGGAGAGCCTTGGCGGGGGTACCCCTTCTGACACCCGAACTCTCCGTCTCCCTCAGGTCTGTCCACCCGCAGGCGGTAGAGGCACCACCTGGCTCGAAGGAACTCAGCCAGGTCCTGAAGCTGATGGGCAGGAGAGGAAGGGAGGCAGGGGGCGCAGTGCCAGAGTGGGAGAGTGGCGAGGAGGTCTTGGGGTCCCTGTTGCCTCTCATCCTCTTCACTCCCACAGGACCCCCATGGCACCTGACGCCTCCCCCCACCCTGCGTGTCTGTGGCCACCTCAACGGTCCCTTGCCCTAGCCCTGACCCAGGGGCACCCTTGCCACCCAGACTTCCAATAAAGCCTGTTTTTCCCTCTTGACAGCGCTGTGTGACCCTCAGTGCCTCTTGCGCGAAAGCAGGGAAGACCCCCTAAGCCCGGGCAGGGGGCGGCCCCACCCTTAGGGAAGGGGCGGGGACCTCGGCAGTAGGCGGGGGCGGGGGCAGGGGGATGGCCTGGACCGGGGCGGGATCCCCGGGCCCCCATTGGCTACAGCCCCCCCAAGGCTCCCCCACCTTCCTCCCCACATCAGTCTGTCCGGCTTCCAGCTGCTGCAGCCGCGCCTTCGCATCCTCAGCATTCAGCAGCCCCTGCGCCGGCTCAGCATGGCCACCCCAACCCAGACCCCCACAAACGGTGAGCGTCTACTGGGAAGTGGGTGCCTGCGTGGAGGTGGGGTATCCGGGATCAGGGGAAGATTCCCATACTGAAAGAGTGGGGGGCTAGAGGAGAAGTCTGTCTCTGTCATGGCCAGAGGGAGGCCCCGAAGCAGCGCATTCCTTGACTCCCATGACGGGGTTCTTATACACCCTCTCCCCTGGCGATATCCTCCTTGTGCGGGACCTATGGTGAGAGAGTGACAGTCCCGGGAGAAAGGATGCTCGGACAGGTTGCTATGGCAACCGGGTGACTGGTCCAGCCCAGCGGTAGAAGCAAACCAGAAGAGCTGGGGTTTAAGGGTGGGAGCAGATGGGATTTAAGGGTGGGAGTGGTCTGCAGCCAGAGAGATTCTGGAAGATTTCAAGACCCTGAGGTGGACCAGGAAAAGGGCCGCTATCCTTTTTCCTCCTCCTAGGGTGGATATTTCCTGAACTCCCTGACAGGCAGGTTCAGAGGGGAGGAGGGACTACTGATGTGGTGGTGGCGGTGATGGTATGAGACGGAGTAAAAAACCTGAAAGAGATAGAGACCGAGAGAGACAGGCGATCCAGAGGCACAAAGATAGATGCACAGATGAAGAGAGAAGAGAGAAGAGGAGAGAGAGAGAGAGAGAGAGAGAGAGAGAGAGAGAGAGAAGGAGAGAGAGAGAGATTAAGACAAGAGGAAAGGGGGGTACCGGGTGGGGCCGCAGGACTGCAGTGAACCTGCATGGTGGGATGTGGAGGACTCCCCCTTTCCCAGTCCACAAGCAGTAACGGTTGGTTTCCATCCTGGAGACGCTCATATCCCGCCCGCATCCAGCCGCAAAGGATTTACACTTCGCACCCATTAACCCAGATATGCATGCACCGGCTTAAACACTCCCTGGCGCTGTGGAGCCGTGGCCCCCTGGCCGCCTCTTCTGTTGCGCGGTCCTCTGCAGAGGAGCCCTGCTTGCACCGGGTTGGGGGCAGGGCAGAGGACCCGGGATGTTACAGAGCCCCTGGCGGTGGAGGGAACCCCAATTCCACTCTCATGGCGCTTTCCCTTCCCCCTTTCCCAGCAGGCGGGGGCTGCCGCGCCGAGCCTTAGCTGCAGAATCCCAGGCAGGGCGGGGGTGAGGGGCTGCAGAGGCTGGGAGCCACCCCTGGGAGAGGGGGCAGGGCCGAGCCAGCGGGTCTGGCCGGAGCCCAGGGCTTCTTTTTAGCAGAGGTGGTGGTTAGCAGGATCGATGTTAGCAGCCGGGCAGAGGTGGGAGGGCAGACGCCTCGCCAATCTCCTGCTCCCTGCCACAGCCTAAGAGGGGACCGCAGGACGTGGGAAACCCCAGGGGAGGAAAAGCACCCGGAGCATTTATTGCAGGCAGCTTACGGAAATGAATTAATGAATTGTTGGGGGAGAGAAGAGGAGGGAGGTCCAGCTCTTGCCAGAGAACGGGAGGGAGAAATGGGAGTGAGCAGAAAGGGGATGTGGGCATATCTTGGGCCTGGGTCGGGGTCCCTGGGAAGCGGGGGGGGGGGGGGGGGGGGCCTTTGGCCAGAAACCACCTCTGCAGGGGAAACCAGGGGAGGTAAGGTTGGCCCAGCCCCCAAACCTTACATATGACCCCACCCAGCCTGGAGTGCCTAGACCCATCACCTCGCAAGATATCCCGGTTGCCATGGCAACCACCTCCTTCCTCATCTCTCCTTGGCAACTAGCCAAGAGTGGTATACATTCCTTCTTTGGCCTCCTGGCTCCACCCTTAACCTATCCACACCCTGAGGAAACCCCACAGAAGCAGCAGGTACCAACAGGGGGTCTCAGAGGAGCCCAGGAAGATGCTGGGACAGGGGCTCACCTGGAGGTCGCATGTGTGAGAAGTCAGCAGACCAAAGTGGGATTGTCCAGTTCTTCCATTTTTGATGCAGTCACCTCTAATCAGAGGCCCTCTCATTCATTCATTCATTCATTCATTCATTCATTCCCTCCAGAACTTCTTTGTGAGCCTTCTGTAATGCCAGGCCTAACTGCAAAGACAAGTCGGACAAAGTCACTTACTCTCTGGGGTGAAGCTAAGACCTGGCACAGGTAACTCGGAAACATTAGGTGCCAGCTGTATGCTTCTTCAAGACTTTTGCCCTAAGAGTGTGTTCCTTGCACTCCTGTTTAGTACTTTTCCTTCCTAGAATTAACTTCTTAAAAACTTTAATGAGCTTTATTTTTTTCATCACCACCACAAATGGAAAATTAGTACTTTTTTCTCTCTGTCCCTAAATTGAAGACAAGAGTTAGGTGTATTGGCGCACACCTGTAATCTCAGCACTTCAGAGGCTGAGGCAGGAAACTTATGAGTTTGAGGCTAGCCTGGGTTACATAGCAAGGCAGTCTCCCAAAAGCAAAAACAAACTACACCCTGCTGACAACAACAAAAGTCAATTGACAAATATCAAAGACACATCCACACCAACCCAAGATATCTTCTTTAGAGATTGGACAAAGACCTGGGGATAAAAACCAGACCTTTTTATGGTCCTGCCTCAGCCAACTGTATCAATGAGTTTAGGCTACACCCAGTGTTGGTAACAAATAGTACCAAACATCTATATGGAAGAAGACCACCAAGGTTCATCTCTCACATGTATTACATGTGGACTGGGGGGGAGATCTCTGCACAACTAGAGCAGTCATCTTGAACATTCATTGACTAGAGCTAAGCAAATGGCCCTACCCAACACCAAGGGGAACCAGAAGAGGGGAGAGGAACCCCCTCACATTCCCTTGGCCCCCTCTCTAGTGGCACATGCTACAGGATTCGGCTGTAGACCTGGTTGAATATGATGAAAACGGTTGGAGGGAGCCAATAGCCACAACACAGCCTTTATAATTTTAATATTTATATTTTTAGACATTGTCTCACTATGTAGCCCTAGCTAGCCTGGAACTCACTATGTGGACCAGGCTGGCCTTGAACTCACAGAGATCTGCCTGCCTCTACCTCCCAAGTGCTGGGATGAAAGGAGTGTGCCACGACCCTCCAGAGTAGACATCTTAAGCTGGAAGGATGTTTTGAGCTCCCTCTCTCTCTTTCTGGCAGGACCTCACTATGTGGCCCAGGCTGGCCTTGATCTCTGTCCTCTTGCCTCATCCTCCCAAATGCAGGTGTTATAGGAGTTTACCACCATGTCCAGCTTTTCTAGCCCTTTGCAAGGGGTTTAGGGCAGGGGGGTTGAGAGATAGGGGAAGACTAGATTCTCTCTCTCTCTCTCTCTCTCTCTCACATACACACACACACACACACACACAGAAACTGGAGTACATCTTCTGTCTTCTATTTCATGTGGTGGAGAGTCATGTCTACAGAGATACACAGAATGTCATCACAAGAATAAATCTGAATCTCAGATCTTAAGTGACAAAGATATGAATCAGCACAGCTGCCCCATACTGGATTTGGTGACAGCAGTGAGTGGATGGGAGAGTGGCCGCAGGACCTGACCTCAGGAGCTCTCAGATGACTGGGAACTTTTAGGGAGTCTTCAGGGAAGGCTGATACATCTGGTAATCTCTAGCAGGACTGGGGGCTGTTAACCCCCAGTATCATATGTAGATGTGTGTGTGTGTGTGTGTGTGTGTGTCCTGGGTGTGACTGCATAGCTTGTATCAGACCTCCGTAGGGGTCTAGATCAGGACTACCTTGTACAGTTGGGTAGGCTGTATAGTACACAGGGAAGCAGTACACACCGATGGAGTGAATGAGTCTAAAGTGTATCTTACGCTCCACCTTGAGCCTGTGCTCTGTTGTCCACAGTAAGGGGCTTCTCTCTGAGCCCCATAAAGAAGCCCTTGGGTCAGCACCCCCATCTATGCCCTCAAAGGTTAAGAAAGCCACTGTTGAAATATGTTTTCCCTGTCTCTCTGCCTTCCTGCCTGCAGTTCCTGAAGAAAAGGACCCATTTTATTATGGTGAGTGTTGAATACTGTTGGGCTAGATGGAGGAGTGGCTTCATCTGTGGCTACAGGACACATGGGCCACCAGTGACAGGGCCATGTGTATATGGCTTACCTCAGCAGTGTCTCTGGAGGGCAGAGCCAGATTTGGAGGAGGAGGAGTGGGCCTCTGCTTCCTATAAGCCCCCAGATAAAGGTTGTAGCTTTGCTAGGCCCCTGATTTCTTTTTGGTTGGTGCAGGGAGGGTTAACAGGGATTGGCAAGTGTTGAGAAGACATCCACACCAACCTAAGGCTTGCTCTTTGGAGATGAAATAGAGACTTGAGAAGAGGAAATACATTCATTATATCAGTGTTGGTCAGTTCAGGCTGCTACCTGCCTTAGTAACAAATAGTACCCAAAGCCTCCATGGATTGTGACCAGGACTCTGGTCACAATTGTACACTGAAATCATAAGAGAAGTAAATGAGGAAGGGCCTTAAAATGACTCTGAGGTTTGAATCCTGACTTTCCACCTCCTAGCTGTGTGGCCTCAGGCAAGCAGCTTTACCTCTCCGGTCCCTTCTAAAATAAAGGGGTAAGAATAGTTCCTACCTATGAAAACTATAGAAAGATTTACAGAAATGATGCCTTTCTGTCACCTCCATGGCTCTGAAGCCCTCAGTCGAGCAGATCTGAGGTCTGGCCTAAGTTTCCCCTAAACACTTTCTGTCCCTCCACCTTTTCGTACTGTTTGTCTCATAGGAGGTCCTTCCCGTCTTAGGGTCTTTGCACTTACTGTTCCTTCTCCCAGGAACATGACCTCTCAGCTCTCCACACAGTGAGCTAAGGCTCCTTTTCTGGCCTCGGATCAGATATCTTGCTTGCTTAGGAGGTGCTCTCACCACACCCAGCCATGACTTGGGTTTTTTGGTTTTTGTTGTTCTTATTAGCATGGTTGTTTGTTGATTTTGTCGATGAATGCTTAATCACAATATAAGAGTTTGCTGCTTGAGGACAGATGTGGGGCTGCAGTCTACTTCCTGCAAATATGTGCAAAACCTATGCGTGCTGCATGCCGGGCCCTGCACCAGGCTCTGGACATGCCTTTCTGCCCCTCCACCTCACGCTCCCCTGTTTGTCAGACATAGATGGGAGACAAAAGTAATTCTTCCCAGCACTCTGGAGGCTGAAGCAGGGGGGTCGTGAGTTTGAGGTCAGTCTGAGCCACATAAGGAAACCCTGTCTAAAAAAATTAAAAAAAAAAAAAAAAAAAAAAATTTATTTCCTGACTGTTCTGGGAGCGAGGAAGGAAAAGCTAGAGAAGGCACGAAGGGAAGATTCTTCCCAGCTTCTTCCTGCTTCAAAAAAAAAAGCCCAGAATTCTTACAAAGGAAAATAAAAAAGGAAATGGGGCTGGAAAGAGTTGAGACCATGAGGCTTTAAAAGGATATTTCAATAAAACGCACAGGTTGGTAAGGGAGGAAGTGAGGTGCATTGGAGCCTTCAGGTACAGGGAACAGCTGGTGTTAAGGTCCTGAGGCAGGACACCTGGCAAGCTCTAGGGACTGTAGGGAGGCCATACGGCTGAGTAGAGGACTGATAGGAAGAGTGGGGTAGGAGATGCCTGGGAAGGATTGAGGACCAGGTCTTTCATCGGGGCCATGATAGGACCTTGGTTTTTGCTTAGAGTGCTGTTACAACTAGTGAGGATGGCTCTAAGCTCAGGAGGCTGATCTGACAGGGGTGACAGGGCTCTTGTGGCCGTGGTGGAAGGATGGAGTGAAGCAGCAAGACCTAGAGAGGTCTGCTGAAATAGCCCAGGCCCTGATCAAGTCAGACAGGACTATGATGAGGACAGGGAGAGGTGGCTGAGGAGGCTCAGTGTCTAGGGTGAAAATCCATACTGGCTAAGTTGGAGAGTGGTGAAGAGGAGGGTGGTGTTGGAGAAGATGCCCCTGAGCTCTGCCCAGATAGAGCTCTGGGGCCTTTGAGAAACTGTAAGAGGCAGCAGCTGGCTGGTCCTGGTGGGCAGCTGGGCTGAGGGCTGCCCTGTCCTAAGGTGCCCCTGTTTCATGTCTCCCTTAGACTATGCCACCGTGCAGACCGTGGGAATGACCCTGGCCACCATCATGTTCGTGGTGGGGATCATCATCATCCTTAGTAAGTCCCGCCCCACCTGCAAGGGCCCCCACCTGCGAAGGCCCTGGCCTGTGAGGGTCCTCTGCCATCCCAATCTCCACCTTTGCGGGCTTCTAGCCAAGAGGATCCCCACCTACAAGTACCCCACCTGTGAGGGTCCCCACTTTCGAGAGTTCCCTTTCTGCCCAGCCCTGTTCCCACCCGGGAAGGGCCCCTGCAGGCCACCCTGTGCCTGTATCCCAGCACCCCCACATCGCTCCCCGCTGTCTCTCCTCACAGGCAAGAAGGTGAAATGCCGGAAGGCGGACTCCAGGTCTGAGAGGTGGGGCAGCCTGGGGAACCCGGGTGGGGCCCCCTAACATAGGGCCTGGGGAGTCAATGGGCTGCCTCTTAAAACTCCCTCCTCTTTCCCTCTGCAGCCCAACATGCAAATCCTGTAAGTCTGAGCTTCCCTCCTCAGGTGAGCATGGGGGATGATGGGGGAGGTGTCCTTAGGGGGTCTGGGGAGGGGCCCAGTCCGAGACCTCACCAGTTTGCAACCCATTCCCCAGCCTGGGGGAGGCCTCAGAGGGAGGATTCTGAGCAAAGTCTCCAAAGAAACACAAGCATGGGGGTGGGGTGGGGTAGAGGGTCTGGGGAGGAGTCTTAAGGGGATGGAGGAGGCCAGCGCAGGTGCTCGGCTTCCCCCAGGGTCCAGCTGGGGATGGAGAGGCAGAGGAAGGAGGAAAAAGGAAGTGGGAGAGGGAAGGGTGGGCATCTGATTAATCACACTGAGAAGCACAGAATACAGATTTAAAGATTGGGAGGTGCTGTTGGGGGATGTAGTTCAGTTGATAGAGTGCTTGCCTAGTATGCCAGAGGCCTTGAGTTCATGCCCCAGCACCCCAGAAGCCCCAGAATGGTGATCTATAATCTCAACACTCTGGAAGTAGAAGCAGGAGGATCAGGGCATCAAGGTCATCTATACCGACTGAGCAAATTTGAGGCCAGTTTGAGGCCAGCCTGGGCTACATAAGGCCCTGCCTCAAAGAAAAGAAACTGTTAATGAGAAGTGGGTTGGAGGTAGCAGGAGGTCAGTGTAGACAGGGATGGAGAGGAGAGGAGCACACCAGTCCTTGGTGAGGAGGAACAGAAGTGGGGACAGATGGGTAAAGACAGGGATGGAGAGATGGCTCAGTGGTTTACAGCTCTTGCAGAAGACCCCAATTCAGCTGCCAGCACCCATATCAGGTGATTCACAACCACCTGTAACCCCAGCTCCAGGGTCATCTGATGCAGGCACCTGCACTCATGTGCACACACCCATACATACACACACACACACACACACACACACACACACACACACGCACACACACACATAATTACACACACACACACACACACACACACACACACACACACACGCACACACACACATAATTAAAAAACGTAAAAAAAAAAAATCTTAAAAAAAACATGGACGGGAAGGTGATGGGGGAGGGGCAAGCAGAGCGGGGGAGGGGGAGGAAGGTGAGAAGGATAGAATAGGAGGAGGAGGATGTGGGAGATAAGTGTACATGGGAGACTGTGACTAGGGGCTCGTTTTAATTATAAAAATATCTTGACCTATTTTTAGCAGAACTGCCTCCTTTCTAAAGACTTGGGGAAAAAAGAAAATCACCAGAGATGGGACTCTCTCCTCTAGGAGTCTCTCTCTAGCCTAGGGGTCTAACCCATGGTCATCCTCCCGCCTCACCACTTCAGCCTCTGAAGTATGGGGGTTACAGGGGTGAGCCACCAGGCCAGTTTCCTAAAAAAATTTTTGTGCAAAAGGGTTAGGGAAGAAAGGGACTGGGCTTGGAGACACACACACACACAGACACATACACACACACACGAAGGGCTAGGTGGAAAATTACATCTTGGTTCATGTCTCTAAGAACATCAGGGTGCTTTTGGGGGTGCAGGTCTAGCCCAGAGCTGTGGTACAGGAAGAAAGGTGGAGTGTGTGGGCCTGAAGTGGGAGATACCTGGTGGATGTTTGGGATGCCCTGGGTGTATATAGAAAAGGAGTTTGGAGGTATAAAAGGGAGTGAGGACACTGAGTGTCCAGGAACATCCAGGTTGGCCTTGGGTGTCCACCACAAGAACATGGTGGGTGTCCACAACATGGAGCTGGGTTCCCCTTTTCCGTGGCTCCAGATGGGTACAGACAACATCAACAAAGACATCCCTGTGGGAACCAAGTATCCGGGTGCAGGTGAACAAAAAGATTCCCCAGGGCTAGCCAGGGGGCCACCATCCCTGGACTTTGGCTCTTCCCATCCCATCTCACCGCCCCCTCCATCAACCCCCTGCTCCCGTGGCTAACGCTTGCCTTCTTCTGTCCCCAGCCCCTGGCGGTGGCGGCGTGTAGGACCCTGGGCAGCGACTCTCCACTGCTATCCCTGGAGGAGCTCAGGAGCCTGAGGCCCGGGTGAAGGCGGTGGGGACCCAGCCTGGCGCCAGGGAGCGCTCCTTCAATGAGCCGCCCCGCTCACCCCAAGGCCGGAGCCGTTGCACCCCAAGGCCGGAGCCGTTGCACCCCGCTTTCCCTCCCCAGGCCTTGGCAACGACGCTCCCCTAAAGAGTCCATCCGCATCCTATTCCCAGAGACTCAGACCTCCAGCTCCTGGGATCCGGGAGTATATCCCCAGCCCAGCCCCCTGGGATCCCTGAGTCCCACCCACCTGCATCTCCTGGTCGCCTCCTCCAGGACCCTCCCTGATGTCCCCTCTGGGTCCACGTCCTGAGCTTAATAAATATGCATTTGGTTTTTCTCCCCGTTCTGTCTGTGTGTTGTCGTCTGTGGGCACCCGTGGGCTAGGGGGCCTGCCGTGGCTGTGCCCTGATTGTTCACACTTGACTCCTCTGTCGTATCCCTCCTCCTCCTCCTCCTCCTCCTCCTCCTCCTCC